TCATTTTCTCCATCAACCCATGAACAGATTTCCCCAATCTCAACTCCCCTAACTTCCCACAACAAACTAGAAGTCCTAAAATGGTAAACTCATCATACTCAAGACCAAGAGCTACCATTTGATGAAACAGTTTCACTGCCTCCAAACTACATCCCTTCTTGGCATAACCAACAATCATAACATTATAAGAAGCAGTATCTGGTTCAGGCATATTCAAGAACACCATATGAGCAAGACCCATCTGTCCATTCTCTATATACATCTTCATAAGTGAGTTCTGCAAATAGTTATTCTCCAAAGACAACAACAACCCAGTAACAACAGCATGACAATGGATTTGCTTCACTTCCACTAAACATTTAGATGATTTCACTAAGTAAACAAGTGTGTTCTTATCTGGGTAAACACAAGACCTAAGCATAGAACTGTACAGAGCAAGAGATTGACTACTTGAGTACCATAAAGCAGATATCATAGTGTTATAAATATAAAGGTTAGGATTAGGAGTAAAATGATTAAAAAGAAGAACAGCCAAGTCTAGATTCTGGGGATATGATATTGCAGAGAATAAAATGAGCCTGCTCATAGGAAAAGTAGCAGCAATAAGATTAACCCTCATAATCTGAGCTAATATCTGTTTGAAGTGAACCCGGGAACTGCATTTTTCAAGCAAAACAAGAGTTGGGTGATTGAGTTGAAGAGACAGCGTTGGGTCCCAATTGGAGTTGGTTCTAGTCGAAGTGGAGGTGAGAAAGCGGAAACCTTGCCGCCCATATCTAGAACACATAGATTCTCCGCAGACAGACGACAAAAACTTTAGTTTTGAAGGGACTAAACCATGAATCAGCATTTCAATATCTAAAAATGTTCAAACCCCAGAACCAGAATGAGACCAAGGGTTCAAACCCAATATTCAATTTGCCTTGTGGTACTTGGACTGGATCGCCAAAATTTTGGTTTCCCGAATTGGGTCTTGAATCGAATCAAGAGCTGTGGTTGGTTTACTGAAAATTTTTGGGGGTAAAGTAGATTGGAATTTCAATATTAAGATCTGTTTAGTTGAACTACGAGAGAAAGTATTGTTCTTGTTAAAATTGTATGGAAACTATTTGGCTTTTAGATACACTATATTAAATTGATAGCAAGTATTCACTCCAGGGTAGTTAAAAGGTGAATTCAAAAATTTCTATTTTATATATATATATATATATATATTACTCAAATTTTAATCACCCTAATTCTAATAACACAGTATTTTATTTACTCAAATTTTATATTTTTAATAAAATTTAAATTCGTAAAAAAAGTTACAAAAATTTTTAAATATTAAAATAAAATAAATTATAATTTTAAAAAAATAAGCATTAAGGTG